GGACCTTTTTTTTTTTTTTTTTTTTTTTCCTTGGCCGAAAACAAAAATAAGTCAGTCAACAACAAGACGGACAGCAAGGAAATCAAGGACACAAGGACGAGCACCTACCTCAAAGACGACACAATGGCGAATCCCGAGTTCCTGATCCCCCCGCCGCCGCGACGTGACCTCAACGCACTCACTCCCACGTACGCTTCCAACGAGTTGCCTGTCCTCGCCCTCATATCAAACCATACGCCAACACGGCCAGCCAGTCCCTCATGCCGTATGTCCCCAGGCCACCGCTTCCCCCTTATTCTTCCCCAGCCATCACCGAGACTCGTCCCCTGCCCCCATCAGCCTGGCACACTTCGTCGACTCTCCCATCATCCAAGCACAAGCCTCGTGGACGCATCAGTCTCCTCTCTCCCAGACGGTGGACGAGTTCGCCAGCGACATGGTGCAAGCGACGCAGGCGCTCAACGAGTCGGCACCCGACAAGAGGACCGGTGCGCCGACGCGCCGCAGGTATGCGGATGGACCTTGGGCCGCCAAGACATCATGGCTATTGACGCGCTTGTCTGCCCACAGCAACGACGGAGAGAAGCTCCACGCCGTACATCACGAGATTGGCGATTGTGGGCACGAGGACAGAGGGACGAGGGCGTGGCGACGGGCACACCGTCGCCTTGTTTTGCCCCCCTTTTCTCCCGCAGCACGTGCGTGTCTCGTTGTTTGTATCCGTCAACGTATTGATATTCGCGCATGACTATTACAAGTGGTTATGTTCCCTTAGTCCTAAAAGCGCTGTGCCGAGTCCCCCTCTCCAAGGCAACACGATACAATACTGCTTGCTGCAGCTTCACTCGACCCTGACCTCCTTCATGACTTCCACGAGACCAACAGACTTTTTCGAGACAGTCGCCCACCTAGGCATGAACTGCTTCACCTCGTGGAATGCCGGGATCGTCTTGGCGCTGTTGACATCTGACCAGGCACACCTCGCCGTCACGGAAAACGCCTTGTCGACTGCCGCTGCTGCTCTGCGTTTGAGCTCTCCGTTGCTGGGGCCATCATCCGCTTCATTCACCTCGGCGCCTTCAACACCATTACCGTCCTGCTTCATGGGAAGTACGTCTGCGCCTAGGTAAAGTGTAACATTCCAGCCCTTTTCCCAGTCACGCCTCCATAGTTGGATCTGTTGGAGACCTTCAGGCGGAAACGAGCCGAATCGGTCGTCGCGCTTTGCGCCACCGTCGACGGAAAAGCCAAAGATTGGGGACGACGTGTCGATGAAGCAAACGCGGGTATTCACTGCGTTCAGCCTCACTTGGATTGTTCTTCCGTCGCGGAGCTTGGACGCCTTGATGGACACCAAGTTTTCCAACTTCTCGCCGGCCGCTACGTCTGGAGGCAAGAGAGACCCGTCGTACTGGCAATTCCTCAAGTTTTGGAGAGCAGGGTCCTCATCACAGTGAATTCCTTGGCCGGCCGGGGTGGGCAAAGAGCTAATGATCGGCCGCACAAATTTTTCCAGCCCATTGAGGGTGACAACGTTGGAGCCCTTATCCAAGTCGATAACTTGCTTGAAGTAAAATTTGAATCGGTTATTGACAGAGAAGGGGAAGGCCGTCAGGTTGTAGATTAGTGTTCCGATAAACACCAGTAGGAGGAATAGTGGGACGTGGTGGCTGACGCGATGGACAAACGGCGTCAGCGGTAGGAGGAGGAGGATTGTCAAGACACCAACCCCCATCAGCGGGAGAAGCAGGCTGCTACCGTCTGTTCCGGTCATTCCCACGGACGCGGTTTGTACCAGTGCCAGATTGCCGAGAACAGTCACGTACAGGGGAACGAGAAGGAGGAGCTGCATAAACCAAGTCCAGGTTGGAAGTCGACCGGACCAAGCTTGTTCGTTTTCATAAGGCGGACAGCCGCGTTTGGTATTGTGACCGCTGTGAGTTGCATCCCTAGCGTCCGTCGCGGATCTCCTATATGTGCTCGCAAATGTGGTAGTCTGCTCACCAAGCCCGCGGCCTTCTTCGCTAGTCCTGAGAGGTGTCGTTTCTGTTGGATCAGGAGCAATATCTGGCTCCTCTCTTCCCTCGTTGTGTTCGGCATCGTTGCGAACGTCATCGCCCAGTAAGTTTTGTTGTTCTTCTCCTTCCTCTTCGTTCTCGCCGCTGGGTTGTCGTGCAAAATCTTGCTTAGTTGGAAGTGCAACTTGTTCCAAGAGTGATATCAAGACTGCTGCAAAAACAAAGGTGTGCAGGAAGGCCAAAGGATATACGGCACCCATCTTCACGCGATCCTCAGCAACGGCCGCGAAAATTGAGAGGATCCAAGTGATGATGAAAAGCCACATCAAAGTAAAGCCCCGTTGAAGAGCACTTGGGCGCACAAAGTGGGCTCCACGAAGCAGCATCCACGACACAAAGTAGAACAACGAAGTCATCATGGCCCACCTGTGAAGAGTAAGCAAAATCATTCCGCCGGGAATCCAAATCGCAGGGCACTTACACAGAATATCCACTGCTGTAAATAATCAATGGATTGACCTTGGCCAACAAATACACCGATCCAATGGTCAAGGCAGCGGCAACAACTAGAGCAAATGGAAATCGAATGAAGCCTTTCCATCCGCCTAGTGACATGGCTCCTTCACCTTCGCCAAAAGTAGAATCAACCCTGGTGGCGAAGAAGTACCATTTATCGTTGCGAACCAGCAGGTAGGTGACCACGGCAAGGATTAGCGGCGTAGTAATGAGAAGAGCGAGAGACCACGCAAAAAGCCCTCTTAGCGAAAACGCGGACCAGCTATCACCATACCAGTCAAACCAAACACCAGCCGTTGGGCGGCCACTTTGAACCAGATCTTTTCTGCCATCAGAGCGCGGCCCGTTGAACTTGGTACTGGTGGTCCTTGACAAGGACTCGGTAGTCGCGAGAGCAGCTGATAGCATGTGCCAGACGCTGTCGACCGATGTGTGCCGCGCGTCATCATCCTCGGTGTGGTATCGAGATCGAGGCGAATAGAAGGCAATGTCGAGACCGCGTTGGCCGTAGTTGTTGACGAAGACGGAGTAGTCCGTGTCGCTCTTGATCACACGCCGCTCGAACGCATTCGACGCCACAACAGATCCAAAAGGATGGGGGCTTTTAGAGTAAGCCTCGGCGGTCTCAAGATCCGTTGCTCGGAACAGCATAGCTCGACCGCCAGCCCCGGCGCCCTCCAAATTGACGAGCGTATGGCAGAACTGCACCAAAGGGCTGTATCCAAAAGCCATGGCCCCGAGCAAGCCATCCTCCTCAGCGTTATTGAAAAGCAACACAATGCCGTTCTTTGGTTGATAGCCCTTGGAGGTAAAGTGACTGAGCAATTGCAGCAGGGAGATGCATCCCACGCCGTCATCGGTGGCACCGTAGCCGGTAGATACCCTTGAATCTATCAGAAACAGGGTCAACACACCCGAAACAAGTCGAAGACTCACGAGTCAAAATGACAATTTACGAGGACGCCAGCGCCGCTGCGGGCAATTCGCTGCACATTGTCAGAGGTCCACCACTCCCCTTCGGGATCATCGGAGCCACGGATATACACGTAAAAGTTGTTGCCTTCAAAGTACCGTCCCATGCTACTATTGGGCTGGGGATGAGTCATTGTCACATTGGAAATGCGATCATCAAAGAGCGTCGCTCCGCGCCTGCGAGCACTAGTTTCGGCGGCTAGGACCGGATTCTCAGCTGACGACAAGTAACTGTCCACGCGGGTAAGCAACATGTCTTTTGATCATGCGAGAAGGTGAGGACAAACCTGCTTTCCCAGGGCACACCACCTGTTAAATCTGTGGTGAAGTCAATTCCATTTCTGTCCAGAATCTCCCTGGATCGACGCATGAGATAGTCGCGTACCACATCATTCGAGTGGCTGTTAAATGGATGGTACGATCTTGTAATGACCTCTAGATCCAACCACGCTTCTGTCAAATTGACGCCTTGCGGCAGCGCATCTGGGGGCGGCGCCGGCGGCACCGTCTCCTGGACATATATCAACGGGATAATAACGGCAAGGTAGCTGACGGTTGTCCAGAAGCTAACGGGGCCCGGCCGGAAAACAAAAGGATTACCGAGCTTCATGGCGAATTGCGTGACGAAATCGTGCAGCGCGGACGAGAGCGAGGGCGTGTTCTATTTCGAACCAGGGCAAAAGGGCAAAAGGAGAAAACGACGCCTTCACACAGCGCCAAAGAACATGGCGAAAGCGGCTTTGGAAACGCAGCGCGCAGGCTCGGTGGCGATGAAGAGGTCAATAGACTAGGAGCGAAGCAGCGGACAACGGGATAATGAAGTTGTGATCGATTGCGGAAAAGAGCTGACTTTAGGATCCTCCCGAGCAAAATGCGGCGACAGAGGCGGTTGATTGGAACTGGAGCGGGAAAAAATATGAGAACAGGATGGATGCGCGTGCAGGTTCAAGCGGGATCGCAATGGACCAAATGTCCAGCGTGACATCGGAGCTTCCCCGTCTCGGAGTTGGAGAGCTGCCGGCTGGGGACATCTGGAGCTTGGAACGGCTCGAAAGGAACATGAACTCGCCGAAAAAGTCAGCTGGCGCAGCTGGCGCCCTAGCGCAGGTGGCCGCGACCTCCTCAAACCGTCACCCCGCACGACCCCGGCAATCTTAACGGCGGAACATATGTCGCCTGGTGTACTTTGCCTGCTCCTTCAGTACTTGGGTACTTGCCTCCGCGCGCGGCCCCTGTTTCTGAGGGCAGCAGAACCATCGCAAAACGGGTCAAAAATTGTCCTGAGCAGGTCAAAAGTCTAATAAGTCGTCTTGTAATAAGCTGATGAGGCTGCGGCAGTCCCGAGACTACCCCTCCGCCCGCTATTAGGTCAGGCCAAGGTACCTACCTAGGTACTTAAGTACTTACGTACTTAAGTACTTTATACTTGAGTACGTACTTGCATAAGTTAGGTAGGTACAACTCATGCAGTACGGAGTACTGGCACTCAAATGCCAATGACATCCCCGGCACATTCTTGGTTGGGACAAAAAAAAATCAACCATCAAAATAGTCGGCCAAGGGAAAAAAGGGAGGGGGAAACAAAAGCCACAAGCCGTCTCGTATGAGACGTTACGCAAATCGCTTCTTGCAAACAGGCCGCAAACAAAGGGGAGAACCCTTGCAGTCGGAACAACGCCAATCGATTCATACTGTCCCGTCACCTCGTATGACTGAATGCGGCCACACAGTATCTGAGCCGAGCTTCAGTTCTGTCTGTCTACCGTCTGAGCGCCGAATAAGTACTCGCCATTGCCATTGCAATTGCCAGACGATATTGTATTTATCAATATGCTCAGCGAGGAGACTGCAAACACAATCCAGGCTCAAACCATTGGCTGGAGATATCTGTCGTCTTCACATCCATCGAGAATCTCAGCTATGACTATCAACCTTTTAAATTGAGATAGCAAGGCGCTACACTACACTACCATACTGGTCTGGATTAGTTCAACCATACCGTACCATCTCCTACAAGCAGATATATCAAAACACTTTGACAACTCAGCTCTGAAAAGTCATATCGCAAGGCAAAGAATGTGAAATTAAAAGCCTGCCCCGACTTTTCACATACTCTCTAGGACGAAATCCTTTCAGGCCAAGCTGCTCAAATAAAGAAGAACGCCAGATTGTCCTGTTTCCGTGAGTGAATAAGTAAACGGATTGCTTCCAATAAAAGAAGCTGCTCTTCATTAGCAGTTGAGACATCTTCGACTCCCCGTCACTCCACTACGAAACTTGCTCAAGCGCCAGGAGGCGGAGGGGGAGGCTGGTTGCTAGGAGGAGGCGGCGGCGGCGGCGGCGCATCACCCGAAGGCGGTGGTGGCGGGGGAGGAACTGGTGCAGCAGCTCCGGCATACTGTTGAATCATAGGATTTGCTCCAGTGAGGCCCGGGGGGGCTGCCAGTCCGGCACCATTCTGAGGAAGACCTGGGGGTGCACCCATACCAGGAGGAGGAGCATAGCCGCCATACCCAGCATATCCAGGATACCCGCCCTGGGTTCCGGGAGCCGGGTACTGCTGCTGTTGCTGCTGCCATGGGGGAGGAGCAGCTGATGCGGATGAGCCGTAGCCTTGACTGTAACCGTTATCGCGGTCGCGGTCGCGGTCACGGTCGCGGTCTCGGTCGCGGTCACGGTCACGGTCGCGGTCACGGTCTCGGTCGCGGTCACGATCCCCATGGTGGTCATGCCCACCGCGATTTCGTTCCCTGGCCCAAGGCGGCGCGGCACCAGATCCACGAGGCTCTCCATCGTTGGAGTCGTTGTTGCGGGATCTCCAGGGAGCAGGGCCACCAGTCGGGCCACGTTGCCAGGGCTTGACATCCGTTCCGTTTTGATCGCCGCCCCCAGGACCAGCTTCAATTCGGCCTACTGGTCCGGAACCTCCTCCAAGTTCTTGCATAAGTTGCTACAACGTAGATTAGCACCAGGAGTGTTTCTACAATCGTTTCCCCCCAAAAAGGGGGGACAGGGTGTCGAAATGGCGTGGACAAGGATGACTGCATACCTCCATTTCACGGTCAACGGCATCGCCGCCATTGATTCTGCCTGCAGGCCGGGCGTCATTCCGCCAGCTAGCACCCCTCTGCCGATCGGGACAGTCACGGGCCATATGTCCCGCGTTTCCGCAAACACGACAGATAATACTAGCAGTGTAATTTTGACGCTCGGGGCAGTCGTACTTGCGGTGGCCAATTTTGCCGCAGTTTTGACAAGCTTGGTTCTCATCATCCCGGAGAGTACCGTTGAGGGCGGCAAGTTCTCGCAGTTGATTGCGCTTAAGCTCGTTTTGGCCTTCGGGAATGGACGCGGCCTTGGATGCGACAGTTAGCAAGACTGGCCAGCAAAAGATATACACCAGAACGATTCGCCATCTTACCGTTTCAATGACGTTGTGAATGAGCTGCTTCGCTTTGTTGATTTTTTCCTCTGTATCAGCCATGATGAGGCAATGCAAGTCTTCCTCCTGATTGCTCGAGTGAGCAGCATCTGACCGGCCTTTGCCTTCTTTGACAGAGCCCTTGCCTCGAATAGCAATCTTAGCACCAGACTCCCCCTCCATTTTCTTGAGTGTATTACCACGGGGTCCGATAAGTAAGCCAACTTTAAGAAGGGAAAAAAAGCTACGTGTTAGTATCTGAAGAAATCTGTTTCACACTCGATGTTACGCGAGAATAGGGCAACGAAAAAAAAAACCAAAGTCACGGCCCATTTCGACGATGGACCAGTCATCTCAAAGCGCCTGCGCAAGGTCGCAGCGATACTGGCCTAACTCCAAACAGGGGACACCAAAACGGGGGAGTAGAAACATTTGTTAGGGTAAAAGGGTTAGCAATCATACTGAAGTTAATTTCCGGGTAGTCATTCACAGGCACGTAGACCTTCTCCTGGGTCTTGGTGGGCCTGCGGTAGTCCTGTGGAGGATGGTAGTTAGGAATCGTCTTCATAGCCTTTTCAATCAGCTTGTGTCGCTCGTCTTCCAACTTCTTGCGATATCGGTATTCTCGCGTGTTGATACGTCTGCCGTGATTGTCGTACTGTGGCGCGGGCGAAGGCGATCTTGGGAGACCATTAGCATAATTACGATGCGGAGCAAGCAGGTTGAAGATACATACCTATCCCCATCGGCAGGGACGACATCGTCAATACGTAGCTTCTGACTGATCTCTTCTATTCGAAGATGCAGAGTGTAGGCCTCGAGCTGTTCGCTGGTCATGTTAGACATGATGGCAGTCGGCAACCCCATGAGGCCTGCAGCCTTATTTTCAGATGCATCGCCCCATCGGTTGCGCTTCTTCCGTCGGCGAGGACCATCGGCTTCAGTTCTGGGTGCTGGGTCGCGGCCCCTGCTCGGTTCTTGGTCAGAAGCTCCATCCTCTTCATCAGCGAAGCGGCGCTTCCCAAGAGGAATGTTATTTGAGCCGGTAATGCCTTGATTTCTCCACGACATCGTGAATGTGGGTTGGCGGCTAGGTCACGTTGTTTGACATCCTCTTGCGGGCAAGTTTTGTTGAAATACTCAGCAAAGGAAGTTCGGTGCAAGATCTGGTCTGTCTTTTGTTTCGGATTAAGTATTTTCCGGGCCGATCTCCGCACACCCTCGCCACATCAAGCTGCTGCCTGAACTTTGAACGAAGAATGAATGAAAGGTCCACTCTTTACCTTTTTTGCTGCTTTAACATAGCTGGATATTGAACCAATCAGCACAATTGAGTACAGTCACCTTGCGGAAAAGGCTGGAGACAACTCCTTTCGGTGCAGATGAACATTTCACAAGTTACCCACCAAGGCTACATCAGAACACGAGGCAGGGGTTGTATTTAGTATCCTCATTTGCACACTAGTTACAAACGATATCTAAAACCGAGCATCTTCCAGTCCGTCACATCCTCGTAATCCTCAGGTCGTAGTTGAACCTCCGTCGCCCCCTCGCCAACGTCTCTCCAACGGTGTTGTGTCGGCATCTTCCCGTCGGCGCCAGCACTGCCGTCAAGTCCCTCCAGCTTTGACCTCTTCGCATTCGTCCACTGCAAATAGAATCTGAGCGCAATTGCCAGCGCAATGGCCAAGGCATAGCAGATCACGATGGCCTGGAAAGCAGAGTCGTACGACGGCGCTTCGGTCTGAAGGAAGAGCTGTGGCCCAACAATGTTTCCAATGCAATAAGCGATGAACTGCATGGCCGTCATGGTCATTTTCTTGGTGACACCACGAAAGTTGGATTGCACGAGAGACATGGCGAGCGGCATTGCTGCGGGGCCCGTGGACAGGAGGAAGTAAGCAAAGAGTTGCAGTCCGTGAGATACGGCGGTCCGGCGGTAGATAATGGCGGCACCAATGACGCAGGGCATCACGACGGCAATGATGAGGAGGCAGTTGAGTTTGCGGAAGCGTCCTGATAGATGGCCTGCGCCGGCAATCACACCTGCTGTGATGAGAGAGTAGGGTATGTTGATGAGTGTGGATTGGAGGTTGCTAAAATGGAAGGACTGGACAATGATGTTGGAGAAGCCTTGGGTCCCGCCGTTGGGAATCTGCGTCAAGAGACTGATGAAGAAGATAAGCCAGGACTTGGGATCGATCAAGCACTCTGCCACTTGATCCCATGTCCATGATGAGTTCTCTGTGGAGCCTGTGCCTGCAACGACGACGCGCTTCTTTGCAATTTGACGTTCCTCGGTGGTCAAGAAGCTGGCTCTTGAGATGCTGTCTGGAAGAAAGAGGTACATGGGCATCGCCCAGAGAAAGGTTGCGACGCCAAGGATAATGTACATCCATCTCCAAGGGTGTATATTGTCTTCAATGTGCCCGACCCCAAAGGCAAGCAGGTTCGACAGCAAGCCGCCAACCGAGTTGCCCGCGAACCAAATGCCTACACGGGTGGGCATCTCATCACGGGTGTACCAGGTTGACGTCAAGAACATGAAGCCAGGCGTGATGGTGGCTTCGGTCACGCCCAAGAGGAAGCGAACAGCCATCAGGCCGCCAAATTTTTTGCAAGCAGCGGTCAGGCCAACGACAACCCCCCAAATAACCGTGTTGGTGGTAAGATATTTGCCAATGGGCAGACGGGCAATCAGGACTGTCGTGGGATACTCCCAGACGAGATAGCCAAAGTACTAGATCTGGGCGTCAGTATTGCAACACCATCAGACCGCACTCGAAACAAACGTCGTACAAACATACTGGACACCCAGCTATACTCCTGTCCTCGGAGGTGCTACGAGTAGACGTTAGCCATATGCGGTTTCCGATGTGGGATGCGAATGCTGTTGGAAGCGTCGGCGATCCAGACACTCACGTTATCATCCCGGAGACCAAAAACAGCCGCGCTCGAAAGGATGACTTTGTCCATGAAATTGAGCGCATAGGTGACAAATAACAACGGGATTATGACTCGGTCAATCTTATGCAGTACACGACGAGCCGCATCAGCGTCAGGCGCAGGCTCCAAGCGAGGCGGCTCCTGTGAAAGTTGAGTCATGGTGCGATGCTCAAGCAGAGCATCAGCTTCTGGAGCGTGCAAATGAGCGACGCCAGAGTCTCTATCGTCAGCTGGGATGGCCATTCTCTCCAAAGGTCGACCAGTACACCAGAGGGCAGCGGTCCAACGGGTTCTAGACAGTCGGGACACCAAATGCTCGACCGCTGGTCGGCGCCTCCATGGGTGAAGCCGATGGTCGAGAGTGAGTCGCAACAATTTCACATGCATCCAGTTGACTTCAAGTGCTGTGGCGCCGACTTGTACAGGCGTCCAGCCGCCTGGAAGCCCATTCCTTCGGGGGCTGCCGGTGGAGGTCGTTGCGGGCCAGAGCAACCAGGCGTACCTGGACTTGCCGATAGATTCTTTTCCGCCTGACCTGACAGCTGCCAGCCAACGGTTATCGTGACTCGTCCGTCGAGCGGTCATGGCCACCATGGACACGCTACCAATACTACCGATATCCCCTTTCATCGCCTCCCTCCCCAAAGTCGAACTGCACATTCACATCGAAGGCACCCTCCAGCCTCTCCTCCGGTGGACCCTCGCCCAACGCAACAACGTCCCCCTCAAATTCAAACAACAAACCTACCTGACCTACCAAGAGCTTCTCGAGTCCTACAAAGTTACATACAACCACCGCCCAGAGCTGGGCGGCCGCAAAGATGTGCCCACGTTCCTGGAAGCCTACCTTGCCGGCTGCGAGGTGCTCCTCCGAGAAGAAGACTTTTACGACCTCGCCATGGACTACCTGAAGCGGTGCCAGGCGATGCACGTGCGCTACGTCGAGCCATTCTTTGACATTCAGGCCCACACCAGGAGGGGAGTCGCCGCCGGGGCTGTTCTAAACGGCTACCTGAGGGCTCAGAGGGACGGCGCGGCACGGTACGGTGTCAAGTCGCAGTGGATATTCTGCTTTTTGCGTGACGAGCCCGTTGAGGATGGCGAGGCTGCCTACGAGGCCGCCCTGCCGTGGGCTACATGCAAAGGGGGACACGGGTTGTTCCACGCCGTTGGGCTGGCGAGCAATGCCTACGAGAGACCGCCGATTCTGTTCAAGAAGGCCTTTGCCCGTGCGAGAGCAGATGGGCTGCATCTCACCACGCATTGCGATTTCGGCCAGAAGGATACCCATGAGCACATCCGGCAGGCTATTTTCGACCTGGGTGTTGAAAGAATTGACCACGGACTGGATGCCCTTGATCGTGACGAGCTCGTGGAGGGCCTCAAAACGAGGGGAGTTGGCCTGACACTTTGCCCCCATGCCTACCACCGACGCACCGCCACCGGAGCCTTGTTTCCTAAATTACGGCAGCTTCTGGACAAGGGCGTCAAGTACTGCATCAACAGCGACGACCCTGCGTACATGCACGATGTATGGATCGACGGCAACCAGGAGAAGGCATATCACCATGGTGGGTTGTCCAAGGCGGACATGGTGCAGTTGGGGAGAAATGCGGTAGAGATGTCCTGGGCCGATGAGAGTGTCAAGGGGAGCATCTACGCAGAATTGGATGCTATCGACACCGAGTAGATCCAACGGCCAAAGAAGAAGAGAACAAAGCAAAGGCCTGCAGGTCGGGGGGTTTCACGAGCTGTTGCGCCCTCCGACACGCTGCTCCGCATCAAATTGCGGCTCTCCAGTTTGCCCCTGCCTCCTCGGACGGCGTGCGAAGCAAATGCGGCGTGCACCTCCGCACTTGCGCTGTCGAAATGGTCTGCCCATAGCTGATTATTTGCGTGATACGTGGCGTACCACGTATCATTTACTTGTCAGGCCGGAATCTGCAGGCGTGCGCCGTGGTGAGTGTTTGCGACCAAGTATGAGCAGCCTCGTCCCGCCAATGAAGGCGGACTCGGAGCAGCTGCAAGTTTCCGCCCAAAGTCACGATGCGACTCGGCGATTTGAGGCTCAGTTGGAGGCGTGGCAAGAAGGCGCAGGAAAGAAAGAGGTTTAAAAGGAGGCTGAAAGAAAGGATACCTCATTGGTCACTACACCATCGATATTATCCGGCTCCCCTCACCGGTGACTCGAGTTGGAGGTGTGATGGTCAAATATATTGCCTTGCTAAGCAACACCTATCACTTTGGAAAGCAGTTGATATGGGCTCATGCAGCCCATGCCAAGAATGTCTGCGAACGTGTGCTCCATTCAATTGCCGCCCACGCATCACGGCCGCCTTGCTATTCGCCATCCCCAGACGCACCTGCGGGTGAGGCTGTCCCAGACTCCCAGCACAGCGAATCATACCGCCGAGGTGAAGGCTAAATAAAGGGTTGTCCAAGGGTGATTTGTGTGGGTTTGGTGTCTGTATTACGAGGCTGCTGCGGCGAAGCTATCGGTCAAAGTCGACTACGTACATAAATATCACAAGGCAACTGAGACATGCCGCGGCGTGTGAGCATTCACTGTACATTGTGCAACCTGTGCAACCTGTGCAACCTGTGCAACCTGTGCAACCTGTGCAACCTGTGCAACCTGTGCACCTGTCAACCTGTGCAACCTGTGCAACCTGTGCAACCTGTACAAGGCACTGTGCACACTGCACATTGCACAGCCTGCACGACAGCGCGTACAACACCAGACCATCCGCCCCTCAACATCGTGGATAGTTCCCACCCCGGCTTCTCTCTTCCCGGTTGCTTTATCTGGAGCGTTTCGCCACCGGCAAGATCGTCTCTGCCAGAATGCCCAACGGCCATGGCTGTTTTTGATCAGTGACCATCTTCGCTTTTAGCCATGGGCCAGTCTAGTTCCAAATCAAGCCAGCCGTCCAGGCCGTGCAAATCCACCTCACATGCACTCGCATATCCACCCAACGTCTACACATCTTCTCCCGCACCAGTCCCAGTACGGCACAACTTCCACCTTCGTCCCGCAGGCTCGCAGCAGCAGTTCCGTCATAACCCCCCGGCACACTTCCAACATCCCCCGCTCACGGCTTCACATCCCCCGCACAAGGAAGTGCAGTCCCAATATGATTCCCGCCGGCCTCGGAAGCAGAACGGCTTCGACATCAGCCGCCTCTCCGAATCCTTGATCGACTTCGCGCTGGATCTGATGCCCTCTAGTAGTGCCCCCGCGCGCCGAAAACAATCATCATCATCCTCCTCCTCCTCCTCCTCCGCCAACGTTGCTAGCCCCGCATACGACGACATCAAGCACCGTTTCGACAATGTCATGACACTGATTGATTCCGAGAGCCTGTCAGGCCACGAGAGGAATTTATACATTTGTCAGGAACCGGTTCCTCAAAACAGTCTCGTCCAGTACAGACCTCAACACCAACTTCAGCATCTCCCACGCGATGCATCTCACTCTCAACCATGGCGGCCGACCCACGACAAGTACGCCGGTCGAGCCCTGGGGTTCAGAGAAACACACCCCATTGAACAGCGGGAAAAGGGACAGCCGTCACGAACCGCCCACACGGCCGCCGCCGCCGTGTCAGGCAATTACTTCTCCAAGGTGGAGCTGTATGCCAACTCCAAGCTGCCCATGGACCTCCCCCGGCTTCGCCTGTACGTGCCCAGCTCTCAGCTCTTCCTGCTAGTCAAGCTACTGCATGAAACCTGACAAAAAGTCCAGACACATGCCGGCGTGGCCCCTCCTCTGCCTCGCCGCCCAGTACTCCCACCGCGTCTACAACAGCCCCGAGGCCGACGAGCTCAACACGCACATTCCCTCGTCGCTGCGCAACAACACCAAAGCAATGCGCATCAAGTCCGTCTCCATGGACCACGCCAACGCCATCGTCTTCGCCATCCGCGGCACCGCCTCCTTCTCCGACTGGGCCGTCAACCTCAACATGGCGCCCTCGCCGCCCACAGACTTCCTCGACGACGAGGGCAACTCCTGCCACGCGGGCTTCCTCTCCGTCGCCCGCAAGACGGTCAAGCCCGTCGCCGCCCGGCTGCGACAGCTGCTGGAGGAGAACCCCAGACGAGCGGGCTACTCGCTCCTGCTGACGGGCCACTCGGCCGGCGGCGCCGTCGCGGCCCTCCTGTACAGCCACATGCTGAGCAGCACGGACAGCGAGCTGGCCCGGCTCGCAGTCTGCTTCCGGCGCATCCACTGCGTCACGTTCGGCGCCCCGCCCGTCAGCCTGCTGCCGCTCAAGACGCCCAAGCGGCGAGACCTCCGGAAGAGCCTGTTCCTAAGCGTCGTCAACGAGGGCGACCCCGTGGCGCGCGCCTCAAAGTCGTACGTCCGCTCCCTCGTCGCGCTGCTCGCCAACCCGCCGCCCCCGCCGCCCGCGGACGCGGACGCCGACCCGGCGCGCCCCCGGCCGCAGTGGAAAGTGCCCCCCTCGAGACTCAGCAACGCCGGCAGCATCGTCGTCCTGCGCGCCGCCCACCCGCGCACCCGCACCCCCGTGGCGGAGCACAAGACGGTCCGGCAGAGGCTGGACGAGGGCGTCGTGGCCGTCACATGCAAGGAGCACCAGCTGCGAGGCGTGGTATGGGGCGATCCCGTCGCCCACATGATGAGCCTGTACGCCGGGAGGATCGAGCTCCTGGCCGTCGCGGCAGTCACGGGGAACAGGAGGTGATGGAGTCTCGTTCCCTTTCCGTCTGCGCACTGTCCCCTGTTGATGCTGTGTCATGTTTCGTTTCGAGGGAGCCTTTTTGTATGCCGGAGCAGTCTAGATACCCCCCGCGCCTGTTTTTTTTTTTTTTTTTTTTTTTTTTTTTTCTTTTTTCCTCAACTGTTATAACCATCCTCCTTTTTTCTGTTCCTCAAGCATAACGACCAAGTGAATATACTATATACTAGCAATTCCGGCAAGCAAACATGGTGTTGACATTACATTAACAGAAGAAAAAAAGGGGGCCGGCCGTCCGTCAGGAAAGCGTGACTACATAGAGCGCGTCCAGCGTCGAAACAACATCACGACTTGGGAAACAAAACGTAGTCCAACACAATCAATTGCTGTCCATACTGGCTAGCTCTGCTGCGAGAGATCAAGGACGGCATGTGCTCGTCTTGCATGATAATCCTCATCGCCATGCCACCTCATATCTAAACACGCAGTCTTCCAAACAAAGGAACCCGCAACGAACGCCTTCTCATCGCCATGGCAAGCTAGGTGGCCAAAGGTCTCCATTATCCCCCACACCTTGTACGCCAGGTGCCCAAATGAATAAGGATGTGGTAGCAAACATCCAAGTAGACGAAATCAAATATATGTCAAAAGGTATAGCAATACACGGACATGGGCCCAATGCTAAATGATGAATGCTTTTGTGTGCTCGCTCAGCGCCGTCGGGCTCTCATCTCGGCCAACTTGGACGGCTAGGATCGAGTGCACGCCGGACTGTCAATATATGCATGTAGTAATGTCTGGTTATGGGTTGGCCCCAAAGAGTAAAGTGAGACAAAAGAAATGCTGTAGAAAGGGTCTGGTTGAATTTAAACAGAAGAGAGTGGGTGTTGTAAAAAAAAGAAATCTCTGGTCATCGCTCCAGTCGTTCGACCAAGGTGGTGGGGTATATAAGTTGCTATTGGCATCGTGGCAGAAGCGGCTAATATGTGCCCAATGTATTCATGCCAACCATTGGATTGTTCGCATCTGAATTCCCTCTTTGGAGGTTACGAAATTCCCCTATATGTGATTGACCCGTCATGTGGAAGCTACTTTGCCTTTGTTGGATCTGATTCATGCCGGTCAGAGTGTTCATGGCATTGATGCCTTGTTGATGCATATTTTGTCCTGTCATTCCGTTCAGACGTTGCTGCATGCCGTCGTGGCCCATATGGTGGCCCTGTGTCCTGGCATTCGCGGGCCCAGAGTTTCCTATAGGACTCATCACCATCTCGTTCATTGGATTGCATGGAAATCCATTCATGTTGTGAGAGTACTCCATACCCGACGACAGGATACTTGGAGAGCTAAAAGAACCACTCATATCCGACTCTTGATGCGCAATTGACGGAGAACTACTGGTGTGGTTGGAGTGAGTGGCAGATTCAGGGGTACTGCCGTTCATTTCCATGGCATACTTCTTGTCGTACTCTTCAACGGAAAATTTGCGGTCGTAGTCGTTATCTATGGTCATGTGCATCTGACTGGGTGGCTGAGCCATTCCGGCGGTGCCAAAGCCATCAAAGATGTCAATGTTGGCAAAGTTGGAGTTCTCAGGGGCGTTCTGAAGCATGGGGTCGGTAATGCGAGGCAGAACGTCGCCAAGTTTGTTGAGGAGTAAAGGCAGGAAGCGATAATCGCCGTTTCGGGCTGCGGCAACCATGGACAGAATCCGACTCAGGTGCTCGCGTGGGCCTATAGCAAATGGATCCTTGGAAGCAGGCTGCATGGCAAGGTATTCAGTCATCGCCGAAGACATCTCCAGGAGCTTCTCAATCTTGTGGGACGTTAACAATTGATACAGCGCGATGCGCTCCAAGGGCGCACTTACCAGTCTATTGCCAAGAAGATCAACGGCTTGGACAGGGAATTGTGACGTCATATTGGCCAACAGTTCCCGCGACATGCTCACGGGATACTGGAATGACATGGAATCGTCGGAGTTGCCATTTGCGACACCGCTATCCAGCTGCCAGACTGTACTCTTCAACCACTGCTGGTTAGTGTGCAGGTCATGGAAATTCGAGTCCCGACAAGCATAGGATTGAGCCGCTTCATTGAGCTGCTTTTGTAAGCCGTGGATATACTGAGACGTTAGCTGAGTCCGAGTCTTATTCCAGATGGCGAGGAAAGCATCATCAAACGTCCGAAACATGTTGACCAGCAGGATGAAGCCATTGAGCATGTGTGCCTGGGGATCGGCGGGATCATCGCCGAGAGTGGGCAAATTGATGGTTGCTTGAAGAGTGACGGGTCGCTGGCGCTGAATGGCATAAGCTCGCTCAACCGAAAAGAAGAGCCAGAACAAGCGACGTCGTCGACATGCCTCGGAGGCGTCGAGCTGCATGTAGTGCTCCTCCTTATCCATGCCAGCCATGTGCATCATGGTTGTAGCTTCGCGCAAATAGTACCACGCCCTGTCGTGCATTTCCTGGCCATGGCAACAGCCAAACAGGAAGAAGTTGGTTGCCAGTGAATTCAGAGTGATGCAGTCAAGGTACTCGTAGCCCTTTCGAACACGGAGACATTCTTCGAGAAGGAGTTGGCTGGAGATGATGTTGGCACCGGGGACCATGTCCAAGTTGTAAGGATCACCAGCCGGCATGGACATGCCTGGCTGAAGCATGATGAAGGCGCAAAGAGACGTCAGGAGGCAGTATGCGTCGCGGTTCTGCTCCATGTACAGAACTTGTTGTTCAAGCTGTCGTCGGTCGAGGACGGGAGCCTGTGGGTAGAGGTTGTCGAAAAAGAACTGAGCACACTCCTTGACGAGTTCGCTGGTGAGAAGGCCAGGAGTGGGAGCCGAACCCGACATTGTAGGCGGGCAAGCGATGCCGTTCATCATGCGGTTCTGCACCTTGGCCGACAGACTGGTCTGACGCTGCGTCTCGCGAAGTTCGCTGATTACTTTGGCTCGTGAGCCCTTGGGGCCTTTCTTTTGTGGGATGGCATTGTAGGTGCAGGACAGTTGGGCCGAAGAGCAGTTCCGACACGGGTTGACGCCGTCACACTTTACCTTGCGACGATGACAGGCATCGCAGGCTCTCTTGACGGCCTGTGACATGATGGCGGAAGGATGGGACGGCAGGATGAATACGCGAAGCGGGAGGCGTGGCCTCGTCGTTTACAAAGTCGTCGTCAGGCGGCAGGCAGCACGAATACGGCGAAGCAGGAGGCGTGGGCTCGTCGTTCAAAAAGTCCGTCGTGACTCGTCAGGCGGCAGGCAGGGACAGGCACCGACAGCCAAGCGGAATGGGGCACAGTCGCCGTATCGATACGGCGTCGCGCTCGCGCGGAAACGTCGTCAAGATGACAGATGTCGGGGTATTTTGCGGGGAGGATTGGATATGGCAGATAAATTGCCCAAGGTCGGGCGTTGCTGGATGCAGCCGCAGGGAAATGGACACCAGGGCAGGCAGAGCAGAAAGCGTTGGTGGCTTCAGGCCGGCGGCTGTTATTCGGCCCTTTCGAAGCGGGCCCTCGCGTGGGGGACTGTCGGGTGTCGGGGATTGATTGATTGAATCCAAGTACGTAGTCTGGGGAAAGGCCAGGAATCTCGGCGGAACAAATCGGCAGAGGAACGACTCGGTCAAGTCGTGGTGATTGTCCGGTTCGCGACGCGGCGTTGTCGAGACATCAAGGTGGCAAAGGTGAAGTCGATGGCGATGGCGTCGGATGTCGATGTCGAAGAGGAAATGAAGGGTTGGCAGTCAGAGTCGGAAGCACGAGGGCGGCGACGACGACGGCGGCGGCGACGACGAGGAGCAGACGGGGCGAGGCCGTGCATGGGGGATTTTCGTGGATGGGGTTCCGCGGACAGGACGGGGTGCCTAGGTACAGGTACGTGGTACGTAGGCGCGTGCTGGGCTGCCATGCAAGTGCAAACGACTAGCCCAGCCAGCCAGCCAGCCAATCAGCCAACCGGCAAGCAAGGAAGCGGCACTCGAGAACAAGCGACACAGACCAGGCTCTCCAGGGCACGCCACCCGGCGGCCGGCTGAGCGTGAGCAGGCCGACTTGGTGACTGAGCAGGAGCAGGCACAGATAACAAGGCTCGCAGACAAAGTCTCGAGGAATGCCTCTGGCAGGCCAGCGACAACCTGAAGCCCGGATAGGCACCGAGCCCCAGTTTTTGGCTTCCAAAAAGAAATTGCGTCGAAGCAAGCTGGAACATGGTGTGTAGCAGGTGGGGATGACTTTCATTCGGTCCCTCCTTCCTTGACGGATTGGCGGAGGCAGATGGCGGGTGAAGACACCGAAGAGGCTTGGAGGCTTCAAATGTGGATAATGAATGATGCATGGAGCGGCCGCCAGACTCGCCAAACTTTGACTAGCATTTTGTGTTTTAAATTAACTATATTTTTGGAGTGTCCTTTTCCGTGCACCATCGCCGACGCCTCGTATCCCGTCCGCGCCGCGTTAGCCACCGACGACATCATGTCATGTGTCATGGTGTACGGAGTAGTTGGCACTGCGACTGCCGCCATCATCGCACCCGTTACAGTGTGAATCTTGATCTGCTGTGCTGTGCTGTGAGCCAGGATTGGACCGACACCTCCCGCCGGCGACACCGAGAGGCCGGCTCATATGGAGTACGGAGTAGAGGGCTGCGAAATCGACCTCCTTGTTTGATGTCAGATGATGCCGGTGCTCCGTACGTGGGTACGTAACGGTCAGAGAGTCCCCTCTTGTTGTTTGTTCAACTCACCAATGCTGATCTGTGTACTCCGTGATGGATGACCAACAGAAGCCGCCTTTGATTTCACGGTTTGCCAACATTTGAGCATCGGCCGCCTGTTCGAGTCGTAGCCACGCTAGGGATCCCGGTTGGCCATCCCGACGTCGTTTCACCTATTGGTGTTCGACCGTCGCGCAAAAAGGACCGCGCCAATTCTTCCTGTTACAACGAATCATGTCACACGATAGCAGTGGCACCAAGCTAGATATCACTCAGATGATGGTTAAAAGCCTTCAATTAATCTTCAAAAGAGAGAATTGTGTGCGCCCTTTAAATAGGTGCGCTTGGCTCCACGCTTTAGGTGCGCATTAACTTTATCCCGTGCGCGTGCGTGTCCATTAGCCCTAGGTGGGTATGCTAGGGCGCGTTGGGCATGCCGTGCCGTGCGACAAATCATTCTCCCCTTTTTGCGGGCCTCTCTACACGCCTGAGAGCAAATTTGGACGTTTTGTTTTGCAGCCTTGCCAACCACTCCCATCCAAGACTGAGATCCGTCTTGGCCTCCACTCTCGGTTGATGGGGAGCCCCTGCTCAATCCCGTCTCTCGCCAGTCCATGCTCACTTGACGACAAATAAGCGAAGGATTCTCCGTCGTACTACTACTACCAGTAGTACAACAGAACTACTACTGCTGCCAGTACGACGGATAAATATAAGCACTTTGTGCAAAGCGGGAGTACTGCCAATATGCCCCACCGCATCGTTTGTCGTTTCCTTCGCGGGGCCGAATTTCATATCTTGGTGTCTTGCCGTGAGTGAACCGCAGCGCGTCGGGGAACGACTTATATGGTAGCTCAGCCAGCAGGTTTAGAAACGGGCTCGTCAATGTTCGCAGCCAATATTTCATACCTCTTTCTTTTTTGTGGTGAAGGGGGG